ATCAAAATCAAGCTTTTACACTCCTGCATCTTTTAGAGGAATATGACAATTGACGGATGGTAAGAACTGACTAGTCTTCTTCGGCGGCTTGTAGAATGTTCTAATAGAAGCTCGCTTCAAGATGTAGCCAATCTTGTCTGTGACACCTCTGACATATGGTAGTACAGCAGGCACACGCTCGTCTGTGGCCGGGGTCACTCGGTCACTGTGACGGAGGCGCGGGACCCGAAGCTTGTTATCGTGCAGAACCTGCTTGACGTGCTGAAGCTCGGCGGCCAGGTGTTTGCTGTCACAGATCCCTCGTGCTCTCTGTAACAAAGATTTGCCCACTGTAGTAACTGTGAAGGATGATGGTGAGATTCACCATTTAAGTATCGGTTTGTATGGGTCATTTTTCTATACATAGTATATATAGTATACTTATGGTTTTGTTAGGATATCGGATGACTAGCACATCTAGGAAAGCTAAGGAATTATTTGCCTCTAACTCCATAGTAAATTGAATTTTAGAGTTTATGGAATTAAGATGTTCTAAAAATGCAGTTACTTTGTCTGATGGTAAAATTGTGAAAGTATCGTCTACGTACCGCTTGTAGAACCTTGGCGTAACACAAAACCGACCATGGTTTATAAGTCTACATAACGCCACATTAATAAATTCTATCCAGGTAAAGCCAGAGCGGGTTGATAGTTAAAATTTTATTTTAAAATTAATATACTTACTTGGGTATACAATACTTTTCCAATATTTTTGCATTAATTGAAGACATCCAATTAACGGAATAACATAACGTTATACCGTTATTAGCGTGTTTTCGCTATTGGTACTGTGCATGTTAACGGATTGACGGTACACGATACGGGCTCGATGAGCCGCCACTTCTAAGCATTGGCGTTTTCAGGTTTTTCCTGCAACGGTAACATACCCGATATTGACTTTTCACATCGTTATTGAAAACCGTTTTCAGATATCGATATAAGTGGTAATGGTTTGGTACTTAATATTGATACTTAATTTGCAAACGACTTCAATCATTTTTTAACCTTTAATCATTCTAAATTCGACTTTATTGCTTTAACTATATATTATATTTTGCGATGTGCTCCGTTGTGTGATAACTACCAAACGCCGCAACGATATCCATATTCGCTTCATCTCTTTCTATACTTATTTGAACTATTGTTGCAAAAAAAGAAGCGACGAATATCAACGGATGAGATCGGTTCGTGAGCCGTTTTCCATTTTAAGAGATCGTTCCATAGTTCGCGTTATGCGTTTCGGTTTCGTTTTCATACGATATCATATGGTATTTTGGTAACATAACGTTATTAGTTATGTTTTGATAATATATCGGTCTCATGTCTGGTAATTTCTAGTCCCAATCTTTATCCGTACGGACCACAAACTAATAAGAAGTACTGCGTACTGCGCGTAGTGCTGACTGTAGATTAGTAGGGGGAATTTCTGTTTCTAAAGTTGGCAACATTGAAAGTCTTAACAGTGGTAGAGCCACGCGGCAGCTTTGTATGGGCCGGCTCAAACCGGGGTGGTACCACGACCTCACAGAATACCGGCGTGAAGTGGAAGCTCTGCTTCCGCGTTTCGTCTGGTGAGTGCAGGTGGCCGGAGGCCCAAATCCCCCCCCCCATCAACATGGTAGCGGAATTAAATGATGATAGACTACCCCAGGAGGGTACCAGCACCGCAGAAGAATCCCTCTCTGAGCATCCACGATCATGTTTCTCCACTTCTGAGCGTGGGTGCTCAGGCTGCCCCGCGTATTCTGGGGGGGGACAAAATTCAACTCAAGACTACAACTGCTCAGGGCAAACGGAGCAACAAAACCAAGGCGACCCCGCCAGGCTGTCCGTGAATTTCTGCAATATCAGGGGACTTCACTCTAACCTAAACGCCGTCCAATACCATCTCGAGACGGCGAGGCCGGCTCTGCTCTTTCTGACCGAGACGCAGGTGTCCTCTCCGGCTGATGTCTCGTATCTCTCCTGCCCGGGGTACAAACTGGAACACTCCTTTGTGCCTCGGGCTGGAGTTTGCGTTTACGTCAGAGAGGACATCTGTTCTCGACGCCTCGGCAGACCTACGCGTAGACAGCGACGACCATCCGCGCGTCTACGGGTGCCTCTCTAGGTCCCATAGTGGTAATGCCGAAACAGACCGACTCTTCGACCACGTCCAAATGGCTACAGATTCGTTGCTACAGCAGATCCCCTCCGCAGAGAACGTGATCCTCGGCGTCTTTAACGCCCATCACGCCGAATGGCTTAGTTCACGTTTAACCGATCATGCGGGGAAATCTGTTCATGATTTTGCCTTGGCATATGGTCTGACACAACTGGTTACTCCGCCTACGTGAATTCCAGATGTGGAGGATCATGCACCTTTCCCTGTTGGACCTTCTGCTGACCTCTCACCGGGACGCATATCAGATTTCCGTTGACGCCCCTTTAGGCTCCTCGGACCATTATCTTGTTCGGAGTGTGGTGCCACTTAGGCTGAAATCGCAGTTGTAATCTGCAGGCCGCCGTGTTTGGCACTATAGGTCAGCATTGGGATGGGATGCGGTCTTTCTTTGCATCCTACCCTTGGGGGCGGGTTTGCTTCTCGCCGGACGATCGCAACGTTGTTGCGGATTCTGTCACTGATGTGGTACTTCAGGTTATGGAACTTTTTATTCCTTCCTCTGTGGTGCCCATTGGAGGCAAATCTCAGCCATGGTTTGGTCGCTCCTGTAAAATAGCATCATGCTATAAGCAGGAGTGCTACCAAGCCTGGGCTGACGCATCAGCGTCCCGGGATGTAAACACCAGCGCTCTAAAAAAGAAGTATAATTCCGCCTCTAGGTCCTTCAAAAGAATCATTGCCAAGGCAAAGTCAGAGCACATAGGCAGAATTGGCGAGAAACTAGTCCGCCTTCCTTCTGGAACTCGTGCATTCTGGTCTCTCGCCAAGGCTGTCCAGGGGAATTTCTGTCAGCCATCTTTTCCATCTCTGCATAGGGAGGACGACTCACTGGCCCATACCGCAAAGTAGAAAGCCGATCTTCTAGGCTCTTTCTTTGCGTCCAACTCGACTCTCGATGACGGGGGGAGTACGCCGCTGACCATCCCGCGGTGTGAGTGCTCCATGCCGGAAGTGCAGTTCACACAGCGCTCGGTTCGCAAAGCACTCCTCCCTGGATATCCACAAGTCGAGTGGGCCTGACGGAATCCCCCCAATTGTGCTGAGGACGTGTACTCCAGAGTTGGCACCGGTTTTAACGCGTCTTTTCCGGTACTCCTACACCCTAGGCGTAGTCCCAAAATCATGGAAGACGGCTTTCATCCACCCGATCCCTAAAAAAGGCGACCGCTCAGACCCGTCCAACTACCGGCCTATCGCCATCACCTCCTTGTTCTCCAAAACAATGGAGTCCATTGTAAACTGCCAGCTTATGAGGTACCTTGAGGATCACCAGCTGATTAGTGACCGCCAATACGGTTTTCGCCGTTGTCGGTCAGCTGGTGATCTTCTGGTCTACCTAACTCACAGATGGGCGGAGGCAGTAGAGTCCAAGGGGGAGGCATTGGCCGTTAGTTTGGACATTGCGAAGGGCTTCGATCGGGTTTTGCACAAAGCGCTTCCTTCGAAGCTCCCTTCCTATGGGCTTCCCGAGAAATTGTGCGATTGGATCACCAGCTTTCTTGCAGATCGGGGCATCAAGGTCGTTGTAGACGGTGCAAGCTCCGATTGCAAGCCTATTAATGCTGGTGTTCCACAAGGCTGCGTGCTATCGCCAACGCTGTTTCTTCTGCATATCCATGATATGTTGCAAACCCGTAACATTCATTGCTATGCGGATGGCAGCACTGGTGATGCTCTTTACACCGGCCGAGCCAATATTTCTCGGGAAAACATCTCCAAGTGCCGGGACAAACTTGTGTCTGATGTCGAGTATTTGCTGAACAGAATCTCGCATTGGGGGCGACTAAATCTAGTCCAGTTTAACCCCCAGAAGACACAAGTTTGCGCGTTAACCGCTAAAAAGAACCCCTTTGTCGTATCTCCTCAGTTTCAAGGCAATCCCCTTGTTGCCTCAGCCAGTATCGGAATCCTCGGCGTCGACATATCGAGTGACGTGAAGTTTCGTGGTCACTTGGAAGAGAAGGCCAAATTTGCCTCTAAAAAGCTTGGCGTGCTCAGCAGAGCGGGACAGTATTTCATGCCGGCACACCGCCTGCAACTTTACAAGGCGCAGGTTCGGCCGCACATGGAATACTGTTCCCATCTCTGGGCTGGGGCTCCCCAGTACCAGCTCCTTCCACTTGACAGCATCCAGCGCAGAGCGGCTCGAATCGTCGACGACCGATGTTGCATCTCTTTGCATTTCCTTTCGCATATACCATGGAGAGTGCTCTGAGGAATTGTTCGGATTAATCCCTGCCGCCAAATTTCGTGAACGCACTACGCGGCAAACGTCGCGATACCATCCACATCATGGAATAGTTTACCACCGGCGATTTTTCCGGACCGATACGACCTGGGGACCTTCAAGAAAAGAGCGTACTCCTTTCTAAAGAGCCGGCAACGCACCTGCAATTCCCCTGGTGTTGCGGTTGATCATGGGCGGCGGTAGTCACTTAACATCAGGTGCGCCGCATGCTCGTTTGCCCCCTCTTCTATAAAAAAAAAGTCACAATTTTTAAACGTAATCGTCTAAAGGTCTAGATACCAGGCCATAAACTCCAAAAAAAATTTTAAACGTAATGATATAGTCTTTGGTTACAATTTTATTTTCCCTAATTTAGTGTTAAAATGATAGGTGGAATCCGTCGAAAATGAGGAATTCAGTTTTTCCGTTGCATAGAACTTTAGATGTGTCCTAACTTTATTATTATCTCATAATGATTTAGTTTTTAAGATTGTGGAAGTATTAAAAAGGGATTTCGGTGTGCTAAAGTCATAAGACTTGTGTCATCTGTCTGATTGCTCTTCCTTCAAGATGGCTCCTCCGCCGGAGTATGATAAGGAACCAAAAGCCCCAGATAAAAGTGTCACAAATTTATCTGCCGACGACTCGAAAATTTCATACAACCTTGTTAAGGAACAGCAAAGTAATTCGGACCATAAATCTTCTAATGCCACAGCAAACGCCGAAATCGAGGTACGTCGTCTACGCTCTTTTATAAAATTTTATAGACTAATTTGTTATCCGGCAGTTGTAATGTGCACTTTATTACTTATTCGATGTACATGTAACTATTTGTTTATTGAGAGGACGATTTATTACTAAAATTGTTCGAGTGAAAATGGCGAAGGATAAATGTCAAATTTATGCATTTGTTCTCATACCTTCTAATGATATGTATGTGAAGTTGCAATTTTTTTTCGGTGATGAGATCATGAAGCTTTCTTAATATCACAATTATGAAGAATATATTGCATTTTGTCCTTTCAAAAGAAAAACATTATGAAGAATATTTCAACACGTATTTTCCACCACACAGTGTATATGTAGATCAACATTTTAACATTTAAATTTATTGTGTTTAACTTAATGTATGTTTTTCGAAGTATTAATTTACAAATTTTAAGTTTGCAAACAGCTAACACCTACAGTGCTAATGAAATTAGATAAAGATCTATAACTTTAATAACAGTATGAACTTTTAGCTTTAATATCAGTATTGTCTAGCAATAGATCTCTTTACTGAGCTTGTTTAATTAAATCATTTTTTTAATTCAAATTTATTTTACATTTGTGAATGCAGTTTATGCAGTTTTTATTAAGACATGCAGGAAGTCGATGAATGCAGGTGGCTCAGGACCATGCTTTGTGGCATACCTTAGGGAAGGCCTATATTCAGCAGTGGACTTGTGAAGGGCTGTAATGATGATGATGATGAATGCAGTTAGTGAGACAGAACAGGTCTTAAAAAATTATTATGTTTGCTGCATACAATCCTAAGTATTATACAATTGAACAAATTCAATAAATAATTCAATCTCTATATTATATAAAAATCAATTGCTGTCACTTAGCTGTTTATACTCGAAAATGGCTCAACTGATTTTAATAAATTTTTGTGTGTTTGTGTGGATCCCTGGATGGTTTAGATTCATAATTGGACCCAGTAGGTGGTGACGTTGGCAAGGTCCAAAAACCCGTGCGAAGCCGGGGCATGTTGCTAGTTTGTAATACATATTATTTAATTTTATTATTTAAAGTATTTGTATTTTTAAAGTATACTTTCAAGTTTTGTTTAACATTTAATTCATATAAATGTAATACCTTCTCTTTATTTATTCTATGAAGTGTACTGCTAGACAGCCTTTCCCTGGATGAAGACTTTTTTGCCAGATTTTCAGGTCATACATCTATCTATGAAAACCATGAGATTATTTAGGCTTTCTTCTATTGTCACCTTTTACAACACCTAAGGATAATACTGGTGTTAGATTCTTTTATGTAACTATAACACAGCAATATCTTTACAGTTGTGTAAATTGTGACTGTGACAATCGTCACCAGCATGTAACACCTTTTTTTCCATTCTAAAAAAAGTTGAGGTTTTTATACTGTGTACTGCCCTAATAGGAAAATAACAGTATTTTTGTACATCACACATTTACGATATACAACAAATGGTAGCTAATATCACCATGGAATTTCACTTTTTTTTTTGTAGGGTATATAAAAAAATTCTCCTTATGCTGTTAATAAGTTATCACAATTACATATGAATAAAAATGAGAGAACTACTTTGTGGAAGACTTACATTAAAGAAGAAATAAACTTAATAAAAATGAATATCCAATATCTAAGAATATTATACCCAATCAAATAATTTCTATATAATACCTTTACAGTTGGTGAAAAGACGCAATGTATAGAAGAATTGTATGTGTGTAAATAAGTTGGCTTTTATTTTATATTACAAGTTTAATATTTTTTGCTCTTTTTGAACTAAATTCACAATTTCAAGGTAACAACTAGAATGTGTTAACTATGTTGTCAGTTCACGTAAAATTTAATAAATAACAGACATAAAATTATGGTAGTAATGTAAGCAAAAGAAAATTGTTGTGAAAATTTTCAAAGCTAGTAATTATTATAACAATATTTTTATAAATTTAATAAACACTATTCTGAATTTTTGCAAAGAAAGGCAATTAAACAAGTACAAAAAGTATCAGTTATGCAGATGACATGGTGTTGCTCAGCCCATCAATCGCTTGTCTCAGAAAACTAATAGGTGTATGTGCAAAATAAATAATATGAATATGGTTTGAAAATATATGCTTTAGTGGATGGGAAATCATTTTACATACCACCGGGCCCATACGCAGTGAGCAACAAGGCTTTCAATGTTGTAGATAGACTTGTAATACCATTTTCAAAGAGTAATCACAACGTTACTTTCGATAATTGGTTTACCAGTTACCTGTTGTTGTTACACTTGCTTAAAGAACCTGTTGTCACAGGTACTGTTGGTAAAAACAAGGCTGAAATACCAAAGAAAATGCTCGAAAAACGTAATAAAGATATTCCCAGGTCATTATTTGGTTTTCAAAAGAATATCTCTTTAGTATCCCATGTGCCAAAAAAAAGTGTGTTGATATCCACATTATATCATGACTATACATGAATTGGTTTGGATGACACCTGTGCTGGAAAATTTTATCGCAGGTGCAACAGAAATTATTTATTAATTAAATTAAATATTTTGGCTCCTTGGACTACCACTCATAGGCATCTTAAAGCTTGTAGCTGAGGCAGAGGTACACTAAGGTTAAGTATACTGTTAATGATCAAGCATTTTGGTTAAATCATAATTGAAGGTCGAAAAATGCTCAGTTACTCTTATTTATAATTCTGATACATTCTCTTTGTTGACTGACATTTGATGTTGTACAAACAACACTTTAGAAGACTGTTAATTAACGAAATGGTGTCATATAATGTAGTGTAGTTTAGCATTGTTAATGTAATAATGCAAGTCATTGCCCAAAAATATTGCCCATGCAATATATGGGATCAGATTCATCCCCAGAATGAACATTCAATATCAATACTTATAACAATAGTTCTAAGAAAATGAATAGCCTCCAGACCGAATTTCAGTCAGAGCAGCCAGTCTCAACAGAGACTGGGACTTCTTCAGGACTGAATTGTGAAACATGGTTGCACTCCCTCACTCTTGTAATTGTGGACGGCAGTTCGACGCACCTGAAGAGAGATAAGTGCAGGAACATCAAATCTTTATGTTTACTAAGGTACGGACGTGAAACACCAGCAACTTCCCAATTCTTAGAATTTCTTGACAGGAAAAACAATAACTCTTTATGGCCTGACCGGGTATTTGAATCTGACCTCATGATCAGCAGTCATGCTGACCACAATACCAATGAGGTAGCCATTATAACAATAAACATAATATTATTCTTAAAACTTGTATATCATGGGAATGGCAGTAAATGTTAAAAATGAAACAATGAAACAAACAAAAACATATATTTTCTTATAGTGTTTTTAAAAAAGATTTATCTTATCCCAAGTTTTTTTGTAATTAATATTATCATTAGTAATCAACTGGATACATAAACAGTTATAGCCATTACTAGCAATGATAAAATGAGACTAATGAATATTCTTTACACTGTAATGGAGTTTATCGCTTTCATATTAGTAATAAAGTCATATAATGATAAGCCTATATATGTCCCAATTCTGGGCACAGCCTTCTCATTTCCGAGAGGGTTTTAGGGCAAAGAAGTGGCTGCTGCCCCAATGGCTCGGAGATTTCACGTCTTCAATTTTTTTGAATTTCTTAGACATTCCGATTTTTTCCAATTATTTTCCTTTATCACTGAGCATGTGGTAAATCAGCACTTAAAATTACTTTTCAAAATTTAACTGGTACTGATGGGGATCAAACCCATGATGCTTATGTACTGTCAAATTTACATTGAAAGCTAAGCCCTTGAGTTACCACTGCTCGTAATGTTATAAATAGCATTTTTTAACTTTAAATAATATTGCTTATAACTTAAAGTTTAACTTGAAATAACATGTAAAGAATGTAAAAATATTGTGAGTCTCTATATGGGGCGAACTGTAGAAATGGCATGTTTTTTTATATAGAATATGGGTGACAAACAAGCACACAGTCCACCTGATGGATAAGTGGATGCTGTGGCCCATAGAAATCAACATCTATTCTCGATTATGAATCAAAAAATAAAGTTTAGTAAATTAGTTTAACATTAATAATTTACATTTAAATTACACTAAAACTAAATGTATGAAATTCATCACTTTAAAGGTCAAACATTAAAATACTAATGTAATTTTAAATGGGAAGAGTTGAGTCTTGCCAGATACATTTTACCTTCTAAATTTTCTGACTAACAATTAAGCTTGTATAATTTTTAACCAATTTCAAATAGGAGGAGGTTCTCAATTCGAGTGTTTTTTTTTTGTATGTATGTTATGTGATGTCTTGTCAGATTATGAACCAATTTTGATAATTCTTTTTATTATATAATAGGCTATACTTAAAGGGTGGTCCCATATAAATTTCGAGATAAAATTCCACCCCTAAGGGTAGCAAATAAATAACTTCTCCTTTAGAAATTAGAAGTCAGTTTTTACTTTTTGTTCAACGTTATAATTATTGTTAGGCTTTTCCTGTGAAAGTATAACACCTAGAGGGCTCTTCTTGAACGCAGTAAGTCTAATACAAGTTCAACAACAGAACAAAATGGACTATTGCTTAGTATGACATGATGGATTTCAACATTAATTATTTAATTAGTAATGGTCATTTTATTATTTTGTCTATTATAACAATATAATAAAATGATAAGATTTACTATATTAGAAATATAGTAATTATACAACTCTTAAATATCTGTCACATTAAGCATTTGCTCATACATGTTCATTGGTCATATGTTATGTTAATCATTTCAATATTAATTTAATAAATCCATTATGTTTGATTGCTTACGTGGTAGAGCCACACTGCAGCTATTATGGTTGTAGCATGAATGGGTCAGCTTTACCGGGGAAAGACCACACACTCACAGAATACCAGCACAAAATAGCAGCTTAATACTGTTGTGTTTCATATTGTAAGTGTAGAGAACCGGAGACCCGTT